TATAATTGATTTAAACTGCTGAAGCGTTTCCACAATTGCAGTCGAGAGAACTTTTGAGCGAGTACCAATTTTCGTGCTACGTCTGTTTTCCTTGCTGCACTTTATTTATTTTTTGTATTAATGAAATTACGCAGTTTTTCACGTTCTCACTCATTTTCTTTATTATTTACCCGTTGCGTTTGTTGACTTATTTAATGAGTGCTGATAGAGAGAGAGAGAGAGAGAGAGAGAGACAGAAATTAAGAGAGCGTTAAGTAAATGTGACCTTAATTTCCCTCGCTCAATCTGTCTGTGTGTGTGTGTGTGTGTGTGGTATGCAAATACCCATTTGATATACGGTCTATAGAAATTGAAAGCGGCAGGTGGGGAGAGGGAAGGCAAAGGCGAGGCAACCACATCATTTACATGAACAGGACATTTAAGTAAAATATGGCCGGCGCTGTGGGTAGCCGAGAGTGCGACAAGCACGGGTTCAAAGGACGCTGCAAATTACCCGAAAAAGATGCTGCTACCCATCTCTCGCCCTCGCCCTCCCCAAAATCCTCACAAAAGAAAGAACGAAAAGAAAGACGCCTGTGGGAACGGGAGGCAGCACATAAAAATGCTCTAAATGAAGCCATAAATGCGCAATCACGAAATTACAAAGTAGCGGTTGGAGTTATAGGTGGAGGTGGGTTACAGCCGGGCGGAGGGCGGTGGGTGGTTGTTGGCTTGGGGCGTGGCAGAGCTGAATGTGTTTATTTATGCAGTTGCTTCAGCTTTGTTACAAATATTGCGAGCGAAAAGGCAGTCAAATTTAATTGGCTTGCAAATTGCCAGGGAGGAGCTGCCACACTTAACTCAGGGTAGGAGAGCAGCTGACCCACTCTTCTCCTCCATCTCCATCGCATTCCCTACAAAAGCAGACAACTGGGGCTCTGCGAGGGTGTGTGAGTGTGTGTGTGTGTGTGTGTGTGAGTCGGACAGAAGTCGTCTGCACGCCGATTCCGGAAAAGTTGGCGTTAAAAACCGCCGCCCATTAAAACTATTTGCCGTAACACAGCAGATGGCAAGTGTCAGCGGGGGAATACGGCTGCGGCTGCCAAAAGTTGCGCCCAAATATTTTCGGGCAGAGTCACGAACAACTTGCACGTTAAGATTTGTGTGCGCTGTCCAAAAGAAAAACTTTCGATTGTCTCGACATGATGCTCAGCAAATTCTCACAGCAAACTATTTGTGCAACTATTAGAAAGTCAATTAGTTGGGCGCCCTCTCTCCCACTTCCTTCGGAATCATATACATTTTCTCGCCCGCCCCCCCCCCCCTCTCTCTCTCTCTCTCTCTCCCCCCCTCTCTCTCTCTCTCTCTCTCTGTGTGTGTGTGCTTTTTTTTGCTAGAACTGCAACTAAAGTGCCTTAACTGGAAAAATAAAAGCAGAATGAGCGTGCGGAGTGGAGCAATTCAGGCAGCGTCTGGCGCAGGCGATTGAATTAACTTTGCGCCAGAAATTTAATTAAATGCCACGCCCATGGCTAACATGCGCTGGCAACCAAAAATCACGGAGTGTGAAAAGCAAATTTTTGTTGCACAAAACCATTTTTACTGCGCTGTTAACGTGACTCACCTGACGAATCAAAATGTATCACAAAGTGTTTTGCTTGAATTCTTTAACTTTGCTTGATTGACTATCCACATCTAAAGCATTTCGCTTTAATCTTTTCAAGTGAGAATTTGAATGGCGCAATGAATAAGTAAATCAATAAAAGTTCTAACATAACCTCATCTGTTATTAAAATGCGTAAAGAAAATTGTGTCAATTAGGCAAAAGGAAAGCAATAAAATACGGCTGAGCGAACTTTTTGTGGAACACTTGAAACTTTGCAAGGGAAATGGAAATGGAAACGGCTGTTGTTGTTATTGTTGTTGCATTGCCAGTCGGAGCCGGAATTCGAGTTGGTTTCGTTGTCGTCGTCGTCGTCGTCTCTGTGCCATAATTATAAATCAACTAGCTGTCGCCCACTCCACCTGCTGCGCCTGGGGCAGCGGCAACAACAAAAACAACAACTAATCCACTCAGGCAAATAGTAGAGAGAGAGAGAGAAAGAAAAAAGAAGAAAAACAACACTAAGAGACTCCAAAGTTTTGTTGCTGTTGTTATGCGACCCACTTGCAACAAGTAAAACTGGGTAGCAAAATGTTAAGGGTTGCAGTGGGCGGGGCAGTGAGGGAGTTCCCCTGTGTATGACATCAGCTATAATTTCCATTACGAGTCGAGCGACCTGCTGAAAATTGTACACCTGGGAGCTTATTAAGTCAAGACCCGCTCGCAACTGGGCAAATGTAATGTAATGCGCAAATGAAATGAAATAAAAATATCCAACTAGGGCGGACTAGCCAGGGCGGTTAGTAATTTTCAAGGGCATGCTAAAGCAGCCACGCGAATAAAAAGCAAACAGAAAACAGAAAAAAAAACTTGTTGATATTTCGCTGAAATGCTAAAACTCGCCTCAATGGTCGAGTCAGGAAAATATCTGATGGCAAATCATATTTAGTATTTATTTAATAATTATATTTCCTATTTATAAGAAATATATCCTATCAGGAGACGGTTTGGCAAAGCAAGTAATCCAGCTGCCGCTTTGTGATAGAGAGTGAGTGAAATTATATGGATGTACGGCTGTACGACTGCTAACATATAGAGACCACATAATGCTCTCGCAGTCCGATAAACGTGATGCGTTTCGTGATGTGTTTGTGCATTGTAAATTACGCACTGGACGACCATTTGCATAAATCACGAGATTGAGGTAGAGGTAGCCGGGGGCTGGGGGAGAAGTACTGGTAATATGTGAGCGACATTAGTGAGGAGTCGAACGAGATGCTGAACGAGAGCTAAAACGGGGGAAAGCAACTTCATATAATCAAGCTTTATGGGGCCGATCACACTGTACGGCGAGACTGTGACAGCAGTTGTTATGCAACAACAACAACAATAGCGTGAAAACTGAGAGTGAGGCGTTGCCAGAGTGCTGACAATTTACGTCACTTGGCAACACTGGAATCAAAAGCAATGCGCATGAAATTACATAATATTTTTACTTGCCTTTCCCTTGGCCTTTTCTGATTGTTGTTGCTGTTGTTGCTGCTTTTTTTAATAATGGCGTCGAAGTGCAGAGAGATTGTAGTAAAAGGAAGCCAAGGGGGTTCGCAGTTAAGATTTCAGCGTTCCTTTAGACTCTGATTATTATTTTATGCCACGGAAGAGAGTTTCGCGTCACGCGCCTGAAAGTATGCAACATGATATTTGATTTTTATCGCTGCGTGCTTCACTGTTGAAGTGTGTGTGTGTATATTGGCGTGTGTGTGTGTGGGGGTCTGTATTATTTGGTAATCTTTTGCCAAGTTTCGTTTCGTTCTTGCTCTAATATTCGTTTTTATTCTGCGTCTGCCGCTGCGTCATTCATCAATAATTCACATTGATTTCATTTTTCTTTTACTTTTGGCTGCTCATTTGTTGTTGCTGCCGCTGTTGTTGTTGCTCGTGTAGCTAACAGCAGCTGCTCCCCGCTGCGCCTTCTGTTGCTTCAAACAAATTGTTCTACGTACTCTGCTCGCTGTCTTACCTCAATTCACGAAATGCTCGCATGTAAACAATTGGCAGGACTCCCCAGTGCCAGGAATGGCTAAGAGAGCTACTCTGCAAGGCTATTGCCGAGCATCTGAAGGTAGCCGTAGCCGTAATGCCAAATGTTGAAATTGATCTTATGAATTTTTAAAGCAGCTGATATTTGTTCGAGCTCTGTGAATGCCACAGTCCAAGTGGCGCTTCACTTGCTGTAGCATAACGGTTTTTTACAGTACAGTCTGCGCACGTTTGATGCGTTCAACTGAATGTTGCGCTTCGTTTTTATCTAGCCATCGATTTGAAGTACACTCGGCTATTGGGCATGCCAACTTGTCAAGTGGCAATCGCAGTGGCGCTGTTCCAATTTAAATATTCCCACTTAAAGCCACTGTGCACCACGCTGAATACACACAAACACACACACAGAGACACAGGAGTGGGCTGCAGCTTTTTTCCACCTTTTACGCGCACAATTTATATGCCTCTTTAAGCCACGAGTGGGTTTTCAGTTGCTGTTGCTGCTGGAAATGATATGACAACACTGAAAAAAGAAAAACAAAGTGAAAGAGAGAGAAAAGCCGTCAGTCATGCGTTGCTATGTTGTTTTATCTCCGCTCTCTCCTTCTCCTGCACGTTACTTTTTCTGCTGGCTCGTTATGTAAAGGTATCCTGTAACCAGTGCGTGTGTCTCTCTGTGTGTGTGTGTGTGTGGGTGTGGATAACACATGCTGATTTGATTGAATTTGATTTAATTTTCCAATTGAAAACACTTGATCTTGTTTCCACTGCTAGAACAACACGAACACGAATACGAGCAGCGGCTGCCTTTGCTGCCTGCTTGCTTATTAGAGTCAAAAACAGTTAGATATTGTAGGACGTGTAATATGAAGCGACTGCTGCGCTTTATTATTCCACACAGATTCAAAGCTAAAAATTGACATAAGGGAACTCGGGGCCAAAGAGTATGTAAATTGGCAAAAAGAAAAAAAGCTCCGGGAAAAATAAACCAATTTTTAAATATTCAAGGTTCAATGGTTAATAAAAAGTGAAATCGTAGACTAATTGAACTTTGTAACTTAAGTTCACGAAAGATTTGTAAATAAAATATGAATTTCACAAATATAAAATGAGAAAGAGAGAGAGAGGGGGAGAAAAAGAGTGAGAGAGGGAGCTAAAGAGAGATGAGACATATGGTATATAGAGTGAGATACTTAATAGCAGGCTGGCATTCAAGAAATCTGTGGTAGTCCAGGATCATGGGTCTGGAACGCTGTTTACCTGGCGAGTTCACAGCTTTAGAAAGCACAAGCAAACAGTATTTACAATAACACCTGCTATAGAAAGCTAATTTATTTAAAATTTTAAACGATTTGTCTGTTGTTTCCTTGCTTTGCAGCAACTCTTTCGCTCACAGAATCCGGGTTTAGCGGCTGCGGCCGCTGCAGCCACATCGGCAGCAAGTGCAGCGGCTGCAGCCGGCGCTGCACCACCTGGCGCACCCAATGGCACAATGCAGGCATCGCAGCAACAGCAGCAGCAACAGATGCAAATGGCCGCCGCTTCTCAGCAATTTTTGGCGCAACAGAATGCAGCATATGCCGCACAGCAGGCGGCCCCGTATGTCATCAATCCCGGACAGGAGGCGACACCGTATCTGGGCATGATTGCCGCGGCTCAAATGCCACCGTATTACAACGTCGCGCCCTGGGGCATGTATCCGGGCAATCTGATACCGCAGCAGAGCACACAGCCGCGCCGGCCGCTGACACCCTCGCAGCAGGGTGCCGAGAATCAGCCCTATCAGGTGAGCAAAACAGAGGGCTGGGCTACGAGTCAACAAAGGGGCAACCATTGTGTATATATAGAGCGCGTGTACCACGCTGGGCATTCTGTAAAGTTTTGTGTAAATTGTTTGTACACATTGATCGCAATTAACGTCTAATATACAGCACATACTATATACATATACATGCCATAACTATATATATATACATACATACATATATATATATATGTATATATATACCTGTATAGTTAACCTACGACATGACCTAAAACGTTGTATTTTTCTCTCTTTTCTTTTTCTATATAAAAAAAAAAAAAATGCTTCATAACCTCAAAATACAAATCGAATACCAATATCAAATGCTAACCCTGTACAAATATTTGTATAAATTATCGAAATTGAAATCGAAATCGACACTCCAATCGATAATTATCCAAGGTCATACCGGCCTACTTCGATCAGAGTGGCTCGCTTGTGATGGGACCCCGCACCGGTACACCCATGCGTCTGGTTAGTCCCGCCCCCGTGCTGGCGGTGCCGCCGGGTGCAACACGTGCCGGTCCGCCGCCGCCCCAGGGCCCACAACTGTATCCACCACAGCCCCAGACGGCTCAACAGAATCTCTACTCACAGCAAAACGGCTCCAGTGTCGGAGGTAAGTGAAACGATCCATGCCAAGTGCTCTTGTAATATATTATGAACATATATAAATATAGTAGTTGAAGAGTTAGCAATATCTGTATATAGCAGCTTATATATGTAGATATACATATAGTATTTAGTCTATTCCATCATATTCTCATACTAGTGCGGCCATTATTCCTAACCACAACCTACATTCAGCATAGAACAACAAACTCAAACTATATATTCATAACAATAACAAGGCAACATTTACATACATAAATACATTATATATAGATAATATGATATGTGTTGCAATTATGCCTAAACTTTAGCTTCAACTATTTTTATCTTGGGGCACTTTCTACCCTCTTGCCTTCCGCCCCTTCCATATTTGCAGGCATATTATTCCTGTTATAGCAATGTAATGCAATTTCTAATTTCAAATTTCATTTCTATTATTTTGCGTGTCTATATGTGCGCTACATGCGCTGTTGTAAGGCATATTAGTTGAACGGCGTATAACATGTGATGAGAAGGGAGAATGGAATATGTAAGGAATGAACGAATGCTTGAGAATATAGTATGAGCAATAGCTATAATATAGTATGAGCAATTATACAATAGCTTAAATAACATTTATAGAAGTAATAATAATTAAGTTAACTTAGGGCAAAATCTTAGTTAATCGCATTTACTTATTGCCCATATTACGTCTGACTTGCCCTGTAAGTCAGTCAGACGACGAGCTTATGCAGTTCAGTCAGTAGCACAGACCAAATCAGTGAAACGCCAACGGTTGTTGTCAGTAAATTTTTATGCTTTTCATAAATATCTAATGCACAAAGAAAGCAGGAAACGAAAAATAATAATAATAATAACGAAAACAGAAGAAGAAGCAGCAGGTGAAAAGCAGACTGAAAGCAATTGCATGCAAGCACGCAAAATGTTATTATTGCCCAAATGCTGCGATTGCAACAAATGCAACAACAACAACAACAACAACAACAACAACAGCTGCTGCTGCAACATTTTGTGTGTTATCCTTGCCATGCAATACTAATTCTGTCAGCCGTCGGCTGAATCATGCCATACACGATTGTGTGCATGTGTGTGGGTGTGTGTGTTTGAGTGTTTGTAAGTGCTCGGTGTAGCTGTAAAGCGCAAAAATAAAACGAAATGATTGGAGTTACGTTTATGCGTACATATATCGTGTATAAGCCGATTGAGTTTGTCATCGATAAATATCGTGTGTAAGCTGATTGAGTTTGTCATCGATAAATCTTAGCAAAGCCTACCGAATCAGCAAGTGGATTATGCAGGCCTTGTGGAATGCTAGAGCTGATGTCGATTTCGGAATGTGTTTCACATTGAGTCGTGATAGGATCTACAATGAACAGCGCAAAAGTATGAAATTAACAAAGTTTTCTATCTAAATGCTGTCAGTCTGCTCGCTCAAACTGCACTGCAGAACAAACTGCCAACTTTTGCAAAAATAGCTTTAATAGGAATGCTTAACGTTCCGCAGGAGTCGAGCAGAGCAACGCATAAACCCAACACGCGCACCACTCTAAAATATATGTGCGTGTTTGTGTGCGCTGTGAGTGTTGAGTGTATTTTGTGTTTAGTTTTTGTGCTCAAAAATAACATTTTGCAATATGAGCCAAAGGAATTGGGTCTGCTGGCGACGGCCGTGCTGTATGGGATTGGGGGATTGGGTGGTTGGGGATGGTTGGATGATGGTAACCAGAAGCTTGGAAACTTGAGTGGGCGAAATGTTGACGCTTGTTGCAAAAAGCTATATTTGTATTTGTCTTGCTGTTGCTGCTCCTGCTCCTGCTGCTGCTCCTCCTGCTGCTGCTGTTGGCAATTGTTGTAAATTTATAGAATTTCAAATTATAATTAATAACGGCAGTCAGGCAATGAAAGTTTACACTTTCGTCGGAGTTTACTTGCATAACGCTTTGTACAGGGCCCCGCCCCGCCCCACCTCACCCCAGCCTACCGACCCGTCGCGACGCCCCTTTCGCCTTTGCTGATGACTGTCTGGCGCTCCCTCGACGCCCCAGTTGGCATTTTCTATTATCCAAAAGCTGCTACTGCAAATGCTGTGGGGCAATGAAAAGTTGTAATTTTCTAGCTGTAAAATAGTTGTTTCAGCTTTTCACTGCCGGAAAATGTAGCCCGGCACTGTGGCGCCCACAAATTCAACTGCAATATTTGTGTTCTGTTCGCCGAGCTGGAGAGGCGCGTCATTTAAGCGCTTATTGAATTATTCACCCCGAAGCGAACGTCAGGGAAAAATCAATTTGACCACACGGAATCCCACTTAATGGAGCAAAAATACAAAAATCGAGCCATTTGCATTCTCATTTCCCAGTACAAGTTTCTCAATTCCCCTGTTGCCGCAAACGCATTTTCGACATTTTCCAACCGTTAACTCTCTTAACACGTTAATGGCTCAACTTTCACATTATTTCGTTAATTAATTTCCCTTCATGCTGGACGTTTAATGAGGATTTTTCGTCATTTTTTCCACGAAAAGTTCTTTTTCCACGTATTATTTTGCTGACGCATCTCCCATGACGTATGGCTACCAATTTCACATAATTTGCATGCGGTATACCCTGTAATATACGGCCAATGTGAAGTGGATAGTAGAGTTCAGATCAATAACCAAAGGTCATAGCTGAAATGAAATGAAATCACTTGAAAAATATAATAT